GGTATATAGATTTGAAATTTTAAAAATATCCTCCGTAGAGCAATGAATTCTTTTTCCGCAATTGATAACGGTAAAGATTTTAATTGTCAATTTAGTTATTATTAAAAATCATAAATTTCATACTTTAGATTTGCCGCTGGACATCAAATGGCTCTAATTAATAAAATAGAAATTTCATTTATCTCATTATATTTATTTTTATTACTACTCTTTAGGCAATTGTTTAAAATATGCATACCAAAATAACTTGCATCATTAGGTGCACAATTGAGACTAAGTGGGGGTAAGCCTTCAGTTTGGAATAGCCAATTTCCTATAAATATACAAAATACAGTGACGATAAGTAAAAATAAAAGATAAATAAATTAAAAAAGAAGAAAATAAATAAATTGTATATGAAACTTACTAGATCCATGTCTTTTAAATTCAGCTTGCTGAGTTAACAAAAAGTTAGGACTCTTTAGTCGATGAATATGACAAGAAAGTCTGTAATTGGATGTAATTACCAGCATTTTGTGTGATTTTGGAGAATTGTGAAATGGTGTATGCTTATATATATAGAGTCTAACAGCTTTGATAGATATTTGTGTTTGCGTCTATTTATTAATATCGGAATAAGTTTTTTTATAATTATATTTCTATAAATATAATAAACTCATCCTAACATTAATTTCGAAATTAATTATCTCGTATTCCTCCTTCCTAACAAACCTATGATCATATATTCGTCTCTGCTACGAGTAGTGATGGGCCACTAGCCTTGTAAATCTTCCAAGCTATAAAAATAGGAAAAATTATTGAAATACATAATGTTTTTTTTTATTTTTAATATTCCCTTCTATTTCTAAAAATCTTTAAAATTTCTTACTTCTTTAATGTATCTGAGTTATATATTAATGTATTTGAACCAATATTTATTGTATCCGAATTATATCATATATTTGATTTATTTTATAATGTTTTCGAGCTAATTTTTAATGTATCCGAGATAAATATGATATATATATATATATCCTATGAGATAAAAGGCGTAATATTTTCTTTTAATACTTTTGGTAATTGTAGTTTTCCATTAATCACTACACACATTTACACAGCAAGCTAGATTCCAACATGTGCTTAGAATTACTGCCTTATTTCCAAATTTTTAGGAATAGTTGGGAATAAAATGTAGGATTATTATAATTTTACATTTAGTTGAAGGTGTTGGACAGTCGTAAAATTATTAATTTCATCATTTATATTTTAATGGTGGTCGGTGGGATAAAGTATCCAATATACATGGTGGAATAACTTATTTCATAATAACTGAAATATAATTAATTTCGAAATATCTTGTTTCCAACCAAACGATCCCTTAAATTAGTAGTCCCCTTATCGACTTAGGATTCACCTTCTACGCCACGATTCAATAGCTTCTTAGGCATCATGAAGGGTTTGGATCAATAAGCCTGTAACAAACCAATTTTCAACACAAACACATAAATTTTATCTCTATTGAACTCAAATTATAACTTAAAGAGTTCGAATAACAAGGTAATAGTAACACTACTTTTAAGGAGAGAATAACATAAGAAAGGAGATGAAATACCAGAACATAAAAGGTAGATCATGAGAGAAGAGATAACATATAGCCAAAACTTACACATAATTGTATAACCGTTATTTGTAATCCCTTGTCCTTTTTTAACAAGGAAAAGAACTCAAATACGTCATAAAACTTAGGGAAAAGGTTCATCTCTACCATCCGTTAAAAGTTTGGCTCGTGTATATCATTTCCATGTGAGAAAAAGGTCAAACCATGTCATTATTTATCAACTAAAAATTGTTTTCGTTTTCAATTATGATTCGGTCACATCATTAATGAAATCATTTTTTAAAAGGGAAAAGGTTCAAATATGTCATTGCACTTTGAGAAAAAGTTCATCTATGTCATCCGTTAAACGTTTGACTCATTTATGCTATTTCAGTTAATAAATAATGATGTAGATGAGCCAAATATTTTATTTTTATCAAAATTTAATGGCATATTTCGAATCCTGAATAAAACTCTCAAACATTTTTATTTGGCCAATAATATCATATTAGAGTAAGCTCTCTACATCACACCTTTTGAGTGTGACCCTCTCCAAATATATTATTTAAAATTTTGAGATATTTTATGCATCGAACTGTCTTTTTTATCTTATTAGTATTTGGTAGGAAAGAGGAAAATGTTTTCTCATATCAATATTTTACAAAGTTCTGAAACGAGTGTCTTGTGCATTGTATCATGATGGTGGGACTGCCTCTTTAATGATGTACTATATATTACAAGATAACATTACTTCTAAAACTACTTCATCTTTATTTTTGGAGTTGATTTCTCAAATATAGTTATTATCTTTGAAAATTACTTTTTTGTTTGAAGAAAAAAATACAATTAAGAAGAAAGATGAACTTCTAAACTAATTTTAAAAAAAAGAGGGTGATTTCAAACCTCCCATCAAATTTAGCCTTGTAACACTAATTTCCTTTGTATCTTCAGATATTAGGCTTACTTCTCTTATTTTACTTCTTTATTAAACTTTGGTCAACAAATGTTTGTTGAGAAGTGAATGTATATATAATAATAATATGGAGAGGTTATTTTCAAAAGTTTACCTATTGTCCATACATGGCAGTGGTTTTATATCCTTGAAATCTTGCCATAAGCAGCATATTCCTATTCCTGCCTATATCAGTCCAAGAGGATATATCTATTTTCACAGAACAAATACAAAAGATTCCCTGTTTTACATTCGACAAACACCAAACAGAAAACATTGCCTCTTTGACCATGGATAATTTTCACTTTTTTTCCGGAATTGTATGTCCACAGCATTTTTATGGACTAAAGAGAAAGTACAATCACGACGACATATTCAGTGAGATTTCATTAGAGAGGGTAGAGTGTACCGAGACCTTACCACTACCTTGTGGAGATAGAGAAACTGTTTTTGAAGTCAAAAAAGTAGAAAATAGTGTAGTAATCATAGAAACTAAACAATACAAAGTCTACAAGAAACGAACATGTTTTATGTCGAAAATACCCACTAAAATTTTTTTAGAGAATAGTTGGGGCAAAAGGGAAAACTGAAGAGCCAAATAGCAAGAAAATCTGATGGAAACAACTCTATGTGCAACCCTTGTGCATGAGAATTATAACCTATAACATATTATGTATAGAAAAATATAATACAACTGGCTGTATGAAAAACCAAACCTTTTTTCTGTGGACACAGTCATATATGGGCGACACTATAAAATAAAACTAGTAAGTGTAGCTCAAATCCCACAACATAACATCCATTTTCATTTGGTGGAATCTGCAGAATGACTATAGCCGTATGGCAGAGGATTCTGAATTGGCTGAATATAGAAAGAACTGCTGATAATTGGCAGGTGGAGACACAGTGGATAAACTCGTGGGCGAAGAAAAAAGTCTAGTAGAGATGCTGTAATAAGCTGCTTATTTGCAATGTAAAAAGTTGTCATTACCTAGGAAGGAATGCAATCAGATTAGATCCCAGACTGGTAAATTCATAGAAGACAGAGTATGTGAGGAGATTGACATCCACATACATAGCAGAGGGTAACAATAATCTTTTTCCAAAGTTCCATCACAGTTTCACAGCATCGTAGCTTTTCTAGTCAGTGAACTCTATGACCAATTAGAGTATAAAAATGTCTATACAAGGCCTTTGGAAGACACGCACCCATCGGCATTTTGGAGAGTCCAAGAAAACTCTATGACCAATTAGAGTATCCAAAACATCGTTTAGCCATTAGTTTCATGAAAATTGCTGCAATCCCAAGAGAAATGAGTGTTAGGAAAGCAGAAGTTTTAAATTAATTTTCTCTTAAAATCCACATTCACTAACATATACGTAAATCTTCTAAACTTCATGCTAACAGTATCACCAGAACTCAAAGATCAAATCTTTATAAATTTGCCAATCAATCTATCAGATATGTGTAGCGGTAAGGCATCAAATCACAGAAGGCATCGGTAAAATCTTGGAGGGTGTTATGAGCAAACGTTTCTAGATATATAAAAGTGTTCATAAGAAACCAAAGATCAAATCTTTATAGTTTTGCCTCGCAGTCTGTCAAATATATGCAACAGTGTGGCATTAAATCACGAAATTTTTCAGTAAAATCTCGGAGGGTGGACATTGATAATTTAATGAGAAAGAGTTATCTTACATGCTTCTTCATGTCAAACCACCAAATATGATTTTTTCCTCTTCATTTCATAAAAGAAAGACTTCGAACGTGTTACCGTAAAAGAGTTTCCATATATATAAAAGTGATCACAAAAATCAAATACAAAACCTTTAACACTTCCCTACTTAAATGAGGGCATCAGAAAATCGCAGAACACATCAGTAACAACTTGGAGTTGAAAAAACAAATACTTCACAAAATCTTATGATTAAAGAGATCCCAACTATAATTATAAACTTGAATCATATAACAAGGATAAAATTAATTGTATCTCTAACTGCAATCTAATGAAAACCTCCTACGTCCCGTGAACTACTCCCTTCGCTCACTTCTACTTATAAATGTTTCGCTTTACAAAAGTCAATTTAACTAATTTTCAAAGCTGAATAGAATTAGATTAATTCAATATTCTAAGTTTTAAATTCCAAAGTTTAACAACTATACTATAAATTACAATACTTTTTCATTACATTCATCGTAAAATATTAGTCAAAATCCCGTGTGTGAGTCTATATAAAAACAAGATCTAAAAATTGAATCACATGCTCACCAATCTATAAAGTCAGATCCAGGCAAATCTAATCTGAAATACAAATTACAAAACTCATATACATATACACATAAACATAATTAATAATCGAAATCAAATCGAACAAATTAAACCTGAGGCAAAGCAAATCGCCAATACTAGATCGATCTAAACCGAATCTGGGTTAGATTAAATCAATCCAAAATCTTCATTTCACAGCGGTCTCCAATTCAGTTGATGCAAGGCAGGACCCAAATTTCGCCGCTAATCAAACATCTATCCGTCGGTGACAGCTTTAGTAGAATTAACACCGCCGTCGTTCGTCCGGCATTATTCCCGGCGCCGGCGAATGAGGTCCCGACCTGCACCAAGCGAATAAGAGGCGGCCGCAAAAAAGTTGAACTGAACAAAGGGCAGAGTTATGGCTAAAGGAAGAAAAGATTTTATTTATAGATAAAGCCAACGAATTATATGAAGACACGTGGAAGGAAGATAGATTTTTTTTGGCAAAATTTGGTAAAAATCGAGAGGGAGAAAAAAGGTTTAAAATTTGTGACATAAAAATGTTGGAATTTACGATAACACATACTATATTTGTTTATTTTTAACAATAAGAAAAGATAATTTATATATATGTATATATATATATTGTTTTTTATCATTAATAATTTATTTCTTAAATCACTTTTCAAGACTTAACTAAATATTATTTATTTTAGTTTATATGAAGTAAAAATATTAAGACTTTTTGCATAGTTTAAAAGAAATGATTCTTTTTCATGGCCAAAGAGAATATTGTGGCTTTATTTTATATTAATATTTATTTTTAATGAGTTTCTTAACTACTTTATACTTGAAAGGGTATATTTCATTGTTTTCAATATATTATAGTATATAGATAATATATAATTTCTATGATTTTGACTCTTTTTTTTAACATAAAGATATGTATTGTAAACTAATTACTTTATTAGTGTATATTTAAAACTAGCTCATATATACTGTATAATTTTTACATCCTATACAAGATATTTTCATTGCGAGAAGTGACTCAAACATCAACTATAATTGAATGGGCCTTGATGAGAAAAAGCCCAAATAGACTTTGAAAGGTGGAAAAAAACAATAATTGAACATATTGTTAATAATTTGAAGTATTTTGAAGTTGGTTGTTAAAGAAACTCTAAAGCTTTTTTCTTATTAGGATCGAAATAATTAAGTGTCTTTATCAAGAGAATCAACAAAACGATGTGAGGTTAATGGTTACATTATACAAAACAAAACAATAGCCTTAGTCAAATGGGAAGGGACCCTTAATATTGAGACGATTCTGAGAAATTTTTTCCTAATTGATTCAATAATTATATCGATAACGATGATGATGTGAAAATAAAAGGATTATAAAATCTATCTAACGAGTTTTTGGCATTTGGATTTGGAAAAAGAATTTGTCCAATAATGTTATTTTTATGTGGCAAGCATTGATCTTCACCCTATCATCAAACTAATATCTTAATTATCAATTATTATTTACATGAACTAATTTTTCTTGAGCGAACATTTGTGAGATGAATAACTTTCTTTAACATAATAGATGCGTTAAAATCTATCTATGAGGTTAGGAGGTTAGAAATTTGTTATTTTATTGAACTGGCATCGTGCATAATGATGCTCGTATGATTTAACAAATCGACATAACATTATTTTTTTAGAAAGAAAAAAAAACACATTAAACAAGAGATACTAGAAACTTCTTTTTGTTCCTCAATATGTGTGTCCACCAAAACGTCTATGCCTTTGTTGAAAGTTCATTATTGCCTCTTTAAGATCTTCCTCTCCAAAATCAGGAAACAATGTGTTGGTGAAGTAAAATTCAGTGTAAGCCAATTGCCACAACAAAAAGTTACTAACTCTTTGTTCACCTCCTGTCCTTATAAGTAAATCAGGATTTGGACACTTGCTTTCAAGTTCTTGATCAAATAAATTCTTGTTGATATCTTCTACATCTAATAAACCATTCATTGCTTTATTAACAATGCTTTTTGTTGCTTGCAATATGTCATAATATCCACCATAGTTTAGTGCAATCACAAGGTGAAGTCCTTTGTTGCCCTTTGTAGTCTCTTCTGTTAATGCTATGCATTTTTGTAATGTCATTGGGAGGTCGGATTTACAACCTATAATAGACACTCTTACTCCAGACCTATTCATAATGGGGAAAAAGAAATAATAAAACAATGTTATATATTTTTATTATATTGAAAAATTATATAATTTTTAAAATTTGATCTATTGTAAAAATGAATCATTTCGAGTCAAATATATCAAAAGACTTAAAATATCGAGAGGGCAATACTGGGACGGCTCTATGCATGGAAAAAGGACGCCTTTGCCTTGGGGGCCTCAAATTTTTGTCTAACAATAAAAAAAAGTATAATTATTTTGCCTACTTTAGCTTTTTTTTTTGTACTTTATTAAAAATAAAAATTAATAATGAAAAGGGCTGAACAAAGTGAATTACAATTTTTTTTTAATAGTTTCAAGCATATTAAAATGAGGTATACCAAGTCTTTTTTTGAGTTTCAAGCATTATTTCAAGCAAAATTATATGCATCGGGTATTTACACCAAGTCAATATATGCATGACATGTGTTTAAATTTATAGTTCATATTTACTTCATTATATCACGTAATAATACATTTTGTATTGACTTTGTGTAAACACTCGTTGCGAATAAGTTTTTTCCTTTATCAATTTATCACTTATAGCATTATGTTAATAATACATATAATAATTGTTTTTTCCTTTAGATTTCAACTAAGAAATAAGGAGGCATTTTACTTCTTATTCTCATTTTATCAATCAAAATAGAATACTACATGTACCTTTTTGGATTAATAATATGAATTTTATATATAAAAGATCATAATAACCTTATCATTAATTTTGTTTCTATAACAATCTAAAACACTAACAAAATAGAATGTATTTGTATTTTTTAATCTTTTTCGAATAGAAGAAGGATAAGTATTTGCTAATGAAAGAATTATTATTACCAAAAGAATGTGTTTAAAACTAAACAAATACAATATACTTATTTGGGAAAATGATATTTTTGACTCATTAAGTAATAATAGGAGTGTTTTAGATTAACTATTGACGAAAATATTTTTAGATCAAAATATTAATTAAAAATATTTTTATTTAATTAATTTTACATTATATAAGGAAATTTTTTAGCCTTTTCCTACATTTTAATTTAGACAATTCAGTACCTCGAAAACTCATCATAGATTTCTTCGAACATTTGCAACAAGAAATCAACCTCCTCCTGCACCAAAATAAATGGTTATATATACTTGAGCAAAAGAAACACAAATACAAATTCAATAAATTATATTCATTCGTCTCAACTTATTTGTCCTATTTTTTGTTTTAGTTCAATTAAAAAGGAATGACTTTTTTCCTCTTTTAATGAATCGTTAATTCAAACTTCGCACCTTAAGAATCATAAGATTAAAAGATACTTAGATGTATTTGACATATCTTTAATTTAAATTTTAATAAAATTTAAAGTCTTCATTACTTGTTAAACTTCTTAATTCAAATTAAAACAAAACGAACAAATTAAATTTCTCTCAGAGCTAAAAAAGATTTACATTTTTCACCCCATACATCAAAATACTTAAGCAACGTTTAGTATAAAAATCTGACTCTCTCTATATATATGAAATCATTGTACTCGTAGAAATATAATACTCCCTCCATCTCATTTTTTATGGTATCATTCAAATTTTAAGAGTTCTGTAATTGGGATTTTAAGAGGTAAAAAATGTTCGTTTAAAAAAAAAGTGCTTGATCAAAACTTTTAAGCTAGGGATCGAGTTGCATAAGCTATTGAGTAGCTAAAAAAAGTAGTGTTTCTCCAAAAATATTTTTAAGAAGATATACTTGAAAGCGCTTTTTATAAGTTCACTGAAACAGAATGGTAGTTTAAATAGTTAATATTGTGATCATATTTTTCACAAACTTTAATAATTTTAGTAGCCAGGTAAAAGAGAATATGTCAAAATTACTATGCAAAACAAGATTTATCGAAAAATAAATTATATAGATAAATAATGAAATTTATTGTTAATCCTATTTACGATGAATTAGCTATGAATTTTATAATAAGTACGAGCAAGTTATTGATAAAGTTCCTAGCTAAATCCACTTTATTTAAACTATACATATCTTAAAAGAACAAGTCATAATTTTTTTAAAAACATGAAGAACATGCAGGAAAATATCTGAGTCTGAAAATCAAAATATGATTATGAACACCACATAAATTGGGACAGAGAGTGTAAAATGTA